ATCAGTGAGGATGTAGGGATTCTAAGACATTAGAATTAGTGAGTAGTCCAAGGTCACACTGTTAAAAAATGAATATCTGGGACTTAAACTCAAGCCTTATGATTTTAAATCTGAAGCTTTTTCACTTTCCAATACTCTTGTGCCCCTTTAAGTTAACAGATTCTTCGAGTATCTTTTTAGATATGGAAGTCAGTCAACATGGCAGATGGATCCTAAAGCCTTTTTGGTCCTAACCACCATATAGGTATTTAGGGAGGAAAATTTCTAATGTGGAACTTGACCATATTTCAGTCTGGGATTCTGAATTTCATATATCATTGTATTAATCCCAAATTGTTTTTTTTTAAGAAGGCTCAAGGATGAAATGTTTTGTTCTAACATGACAGTGTACATGTGGAAAGATGATAAAATTCCAGTTTGCTGTGGTAAATGAGTTTTAAATTGAGAATAGGTACTTTAGCCAGGCTCTGTGGCAAACATCTGTAATCCCTCTTGCTTGAAAGGCTGAGGCAGGAGGATTGCAAATTCAAGGCCAGCCTGGACAACTTAGTGAGACCTTATCTCAAGATAAAAAATAAAAAGACTGACGATGTGGTAGAATGCCGGCCTAACATGTGAGAGGTTGTAGGTTTGATCTAATATTAAAAAAAAAAAAAAGAGGTGTTTATGTGTGTGTGCGTACACGTGTCAGTATCAAAATTAGAAATTCTGGGCTGAGGATATGGCCAAAGCAAGAAAGCTACTTTACAAATGTTAGAAATCATTTTATATAAGAGGTAAAATTTAAGATAAATATAAAAATGGGACCATCTCTTGGTGATTAATTTGACCAAAATATATATTACTATGTCTTTTGTACTATAACTATGGTGTTTCAACAGGAAAATAATAAGTGGAAAATAATCCCTGGCCTCAGTAAGGTCACAATCTAGCTGGCTATTTCATGTATGCTGTAATATACACACAGAAACACACAGTTTCTTTTTTTTTTTCTCTCTTTTAGATCGTAATGGTTATACATAGTAGTTGGGTTCATCCGGACAAACTCATACATGTATGGAAATTGATTTTAGTTCATGATCCCTCTAATATATAGTTTCTTAAACTGACATAACATTTCTGTCTTTTGGTGAAAAAGCATTTTAATAAACAGCTCACAAGAAATCAATTCATTTGTCAAGTGAACAGGGCTATTACTACCTAGATAATTTTGAACCACAGAGTGTGTAACTGCAATACTAGCACTCTTTGTGTTTCACAGGAATTCATGAGTCTATTTTGCAGTTCTTTTGTAGAAGCCCTGAATTTGGACTTAAAAACCATTATTAAAAAAACCATGATAAACTGATAATTTCGAATCTTAGAACAAGCAAAACGAGCAGATCTTGAATCTTTTGTTCATGCTGTCCATGTTGTGCACTGAAATGTAAAAATGTTACATTTCTTTTTGCATTATTAATTTTTCTTTATTTGTGTGAGTATTCCTCTATTTAGTTGTGTGAGGGTTTTTTAGCCTTTGGTATCTTCTAATACTTTTGGCCTATTTTAACTTTAATTATATATGACTGATTGTTTCTGATTTTTTAAAAAATCAATTATGACATTGACTTTGGAAAAAGTAATTTTTGTAGACTTTTTATTTAAATGTAGAAAGAGCATCAAATTCAGATTTTGAGCCATTGGTTCTTTTGCAGTTAGAATATGTCTCAACTCCACAATAATCAGACTGCATTAGATATCACTTCCTAGACTATCATTCCTGCCTTACCTGCTCTCAGTACTGGCTTGAGGCACCCCAAGGGATATGTGTAGAAGTACTTTGAAAGCCATAAAATGCCATATCAGTATGTTTTGCTCTTATTCATCTAATTGTGTACTTGAAACATTTTTGACATAGACATTTTACTGTGAGCTTATAGATTGGGATAGGAAAATCATATGACTGAGTCAAGGAGCATACTTAAATCCAACAAATCCTTGCTGATAGTAAAATTATGGAGTCCCAGCAACTGCATCTTATTTTACCTATTGTGAACATCTTTGATGTCTAAAAAAGTGCCAAATCCTGAATAGGTTCTCAATGTATATTGATGAAGGAATGAAGAGACTGGATATTAAAAAGAAAAAAATTTAAAATGTACCTATTAGTCCCATTCACACTTTAAACTCTAAGACACCATATTTACTTCTCACCATCCAGTCACTCCATAATTATTATATAGATTATATGTTTGTATGTATTTTTTAGATAACAGGTCAATTCTGCAGATCAATTCTGAACGTACCCTATTTGACTATAATAATATTTGTGAACCCTCAAAGAAGGGCCTTGCTGCTGTCACCTAGATGTTAGTCCTTGAGGCTAGTATTTCTTTTTTTTTTTTTAATGGGTTACTTATTTATTTATTTTTAATTAATTTTTAAAATTTATATGACAGTGGAATGCATTATAATTCTTATTACACATATAGAGCACAATTTTTCATGTCTCTGGTTGTATACCAAGTATATTCACACCAGTTTGTGTCTTCATACATGTACTCTGGATAATAATGACCGTCACAATCCATCATTTCTAACCCCATGCCCCTCCCTTCCCCTCCAACGGTCTCTGCTCTATCTAGAGTTCGTCTATTCCTCCCATGCTCCCTCTCCCTACCCCACTATGAATCAGATGAGGCTAATATTTCTTAAAGAGTAGAAACGTGTTTGAATCCTAATTCTGCCACTTATTATCTATGAAACTTGTTTGTGCCTCCATTTCCTTGTCTGCAAAATGGGAATAAAAATAATATCTACCTCATAGTTGTGAGGATTGAATGAAGTACTGGATGAATATGTGGCATACATTAAAGGATTTATAGATGTTAATAGCTATCATATTCATTTGTATTATTATTATTTGTCAAAATAAGTTAGTTGGGTAACATTCCAAGATTGATTTTCTCCTTTTCAAGCCCTGGGAACTCCTCTAAACTAAGGGTAGAAAGTTAAATGAAGAAAACTAAACCAGTGGCTGGGTGCCAGGCAGTGTATGAGCATTTTAGCCATATTCTCCTTTAATTTTCATACCAGTGCTATGAAGGTGATTAGAAACAGACTCAGAGAAGTTAAGTAAGGTCTCCTGCTAGTAAATAGACATCATAGTGATAACATCCAACAGCCCAAGAGATCAGTATGTTCATTAATAGGTAAGTTTGGAATATGCCTGCCTGTGATTTGGGGACTTTATTTCAAATGAGCACTGAAAGAGATGTCATCTACATTTATATTTCGTTCCTACTCCAGTGCTTTGTTTTATATATCTGTAATTCCATGCCCCTCCCATTCCAAAGCATATTGCAGTCGTTGAAATGACGTATGTGGGACCCAGATGGAAAATTTTTGAATATGTGGAGTTTTACTAAAACTAATAGTTTGTAAAAGTGAACTGACTTACTATAATTTCCCAATTTTCAGAATCTCTATCATCATTATTAAAGTCATTATTCTTCAAATTAATAACTGTTTCATAGGGCTGTAAGCATAAACTCCCTTGTTTAAATATCCTAGGTGCCGTTTAATATAGAAGAGACTATTGTAGTTAACTTTGGGGAAGCATCTAAAATTAGTTAAAATAACTTGGTTTTAAGTATAATTAAGACAACTTTTAATTTTTTAGTTTTCTTACATTGCAAGTTAGCTCATTTGGATAAGGAAAGAGGAACACTTTATGAGACCCCATTCATGTAGTTTTCTGAATAAGTTTGCCTCCAACCCTTCAGCCTAGAATGTGTGGAAGATTTAAGCTCTCCCTAAACATCCTTGTGTGTTTTCTGATCTCTCATCCTCTTCTGTCTCCTGGCCTTGTACATTCTTGCCCTGTGCTACTGATTTCACTTAGCACACCCAGATGAGAAACTTGTTTTCTTTACTGGTTTTAGAAAGGCCCTATTCACACAGGACATTTGCAGATTTTGTATATCTAACTGAAGAAAGGCGGCCAAATAGAGGTGGGGTGAGCCTTGCTTTGCATTAATGCAGCCAACTCTCCTAGTAAGGCATCCCCGGTCTTAAACGTTTTCAGACCTCCCTTGACCTGAGAGCTTCACCCCTACCTAATCCCAGCTTTGCTCCATTATGCTAGCTCTTCTTTTCTTCTCTCCCATTCCCTCTCCTCAGCATTCTTCTCTACTTTCCTTTCAGAGATAAAACAACAAATTCTTCCCCTTGTCTGATGCAGAGCAATTTCCCTTTCTTGACAACCATTCTGGGATCTTGACAGCCATTCTGCAGGGAACCACCCACTCGCTCCAAGGGGACTGGACATGAGAGGTGGGGGGTCCATATTGAGGAAACATATTTTCACAAAGAAAGTTTCTTCCAAAGGGGATTCTTGTGTGAGCAATTAGGATGACAAAATAGAGAATTTTCCATTCTGTTACATAGTAGTTAAGTATGCCAAGCTCAAGCTTTATTGTGCCCTGAATACTTGTCAGAAATCTAAAAAATGATTATATGTGCAATTTATTCAAATTATAAACTCTAGACATCTTTGATTAATATAAGGTCCTGTGTGTAGACTATACACTGCTCTTTAAGAAGAATGCTGCTGCTTACATAAAGATCATGAAACCAGTTAACACAAAAGAATCACCTCCTGCTATATTGGATTATTATGTATTTCACTTACACAAAAATAATTTTGGCTTTTGATACTTGGATAATTTTGTTACCATGAAGTTTTTCTGATTATATGCAAGGATAATATGTCATCTTTAAAACCTAAAACAAATGCAGTGTACTTTTTCGGGAAGTAAACCTTTATACTTCCGTTTATGAATCAGTCTACCTGTAAGTGAATAAATCTTGATTCCTAGCTGAAAAAAAAAAATGTCAGTTTATTTTTTCATTCTTTTATGTCAGGTTTGAGGGCTTGTAGGGAGTTCACTGCATTGTAATATATTGATCATATTTTGAATTGCTAAATGAATTTGCTTTTTTTTTTTCTGGCCTTACAGATTATTTCCATCATAGGTAATAGAGAAGAGGAAACCTAACCAATGCCTGTGGAATAATATGGAAGAAGATGAAAAAACCTTGTTTAATGGGTAAGAAATAAAACTATAATAAAACCTTATTAATGAAAAGTGTTCATAATAGGATTATGCATGGCCAGTCTGTAATATTGCAATCCTATTAGGGTAAGTGACCAATCACAATCTTTGTTTTATCCCTATTCTGAACTTTTACTACCTGCTTCCATTGTAAACTTGTTTATTTTTCAATGCCCTGAATTAACTTAAGCTAAGAGGGGACACAGCCATATTTGACATAAACTGGGATCTGGAGACTGGCAAACTTACGTAGTTTTTGAAGTTTATTGGTAGTTGGATAGAGACTGTGTCTGTCATGACCTGTCAAGAGTAATTATCCACCCCTTCTTCTTCTCCAAGAGCTGCCAGCTGCTCTGATATTAGGCTCACCATGGGGGTCTTGCTCATGTGAGCAAGTGCAGATGTGTGTCAGGTGGAAGTTAAATAGAATATCAAAGAAAGCCCAATAAAAAGTCTGACTAAGGTTATGAGATATAAACAATTCTAATTATACAAGTCCTTACATTCTTATTGTCAAAAATTTCAGTGTCATAGATAACCAAAACCCTCTAGTGAATCACAGTCCCCTGCCAGAGAGGACCAGCCACTGTTAACTTGACATTTGGGCAAGTTAATCTCTTTCTGTACCTCAGTCCTCAGCTTTAAGGTAGAGACAATAAAATGCCTATCTTATAGCAATATTAAGAATTAATTAGTTAATCCATATAAAAAACAAAAAAAGAAGGCCTGGCACATAGTGTTTAGTAAGTGGTAGCTAGAATTTTCATATGTGTCCCGGTTAGTAATTTTATGTATCATTCATCCACCATGACTCTTTCTCTGATAAACTCCACCAGTTACATCATCTCTGGATAAGGTTAATCCTGGTGGCAAAGACTTTCATGAAAATTTTCTTTTTGGCTTTAAGTTTCATTTCTCTCAGAGTATGCTGCTAGATTGTGTCTGAGAATAGAGTTATACACCTGGAACTCTTACTGCATATCTTACAGTATAGGTGATACATACAGGTATGTATGAATAGACAACCACCTTCAGCCTACAATAATTTTATGTTGCCTGCAAAAGTATCTGTTTCAAAGCAGAATGCACAGTTCTTTGATTTCTATTTCTTTTTTTTAAAATTTTTATTTTTATTTTTTGTAGTACTGGAGATTCAACTCACAGTGATGTTCTACCTATAAGTATATCCCCAGCCTTTTTTTTAAAAAAAATACATATATATGTATATGGACACAATATCTTTATTTTTATTTATTTATTTATTTATTTATTTTTTACATGGTGCTGAGTATCAAACCCAGTTTCTCACATGTGCAAGATAAATGCTCTACCACTGAGCTACAACCCCCGGTTCCCTAGCCCCCCCCCCCTTTTTTTTTTAATTTTTTTCATTTGTAGATGGACATAATGCCTTTATTTTATGTATTTTTATGTGGTGCTGAGGATCGAATCCACATGCTAGGCAAACGTTCTACCATTGAGCCACAACCCCAGTGCCCTCCACAGCCCCCCCCTTTTTTTTTTTTTAAAAAAAATATTTATTTATTTTAATTCTCGGCGGACACAACATCTTTGTTTGTATGTGGTGCTGAGGATCGAACCTGGGCCGCACGCATGCCAGGCTATTGCGCTACCGCTTGAGCCACATCCCCAGCCCCAACACAGCCCCTTTTTTTTATGTTTATTTTGAGACAGGAATGTACCAAGTTGCCCAGATTGGCCTTGAACTTGCAATCCTCCTTCCTCATTTTCCCTAGTTGTTGAGATTACAGGCGTGTGCTACCACACTTGGCCCACAGTTCTCTTATTTCTAGATAGCTATGTCAAGTTTTCTGTTAAGTGTCCATCAATCTACTTGGAAAGACAAGTTTTCTTGAATTTCTCTTTTTCTTTTTTTTTTGTACCGGGGATTAAACTCAGGTGCTTAACCACTGAGCCACATTCCCAGCCCTTTTTTATATTTTATTTAGAGACAGGACCTTACCAAGTTGCTTAGGGCCTCACTGATTTGCTAAGGCTGTCTTTAAACCTATGATCCTCCTGACTCGGCCTCTTGAGCCTCTCTTTTTCTTGTTTCATAGAATAGTAGTAACTTTGCAGATATCTTTGCTGCCTTTCCCCTGGCTTGTCAGCATTTTCATAAGTGGTACTGACAGTTGCCCGTGTAGAGAAGGAAGGCACCTCAGTAAGCTTTTTAAAGTATTTCCCTCTTTTTTGGTATTTCCCCGTTGCATTATCCTGGGGCTCTATTAATTATTATGGACTATTCTATCTGCTGTGACTATAGTGAGGTTGTTTTAATAGGCTAGTACATATAGACAAGAGCCAACATTTACTGAGTTGTGTATCAAGCAATGTTTTAAGTGCCTTACTCATTTATTCATTATTTCACTTAATCCTTTCATCCATTTAAGTGGTAGATACTATTATTATCTTCATTTTAAAGCCTAGAAAAGCTGGGCGTGGTGGTGCAGGCTTATTATTCCATTGATTTGGGAGCTGAGACAGGAGGATCACAAGTATGAGACCAACCTTAGCAATTTAATGAGACCCTGTCTCAAAATTTAAAAAAATGAAAAGGTATGGGCTCAATCTCCAGTACCAAATAATAACAACAACAACAATAATAAATTTAAAAAGTAAATCTGAGAAAAGTGAGGTGCGGAATAAGTAATTTTCCCAGAGTTGCAATCTAAGTGGGATCCCCACCAAGGCCTGTGCTGTTGATCAAGAGAGTACTGGCCTAGTTAATAAAGTTTGCTAAAAGGTGTGAGTTTAATAAGACATGAAGGCCGTATATCTCCTGAAAATGTCACCATAAGTAATTTAAAAAAAAACTAATTTGTTTTTGCCTGCCTGTGGGAAGAACTTTTTTTTTAAAATATTTTGTTAGTTGTTGTTGGAACTTTACTTATTTATTTATATGTGGTGCTGAAAATCGAACCCAGTGCCTCACACATACTAGGCAAGTGCTCTACCCCTGAACCCCAGCCCAGCCCAGCCCTGGGGAAGAACTTTTGAAAGTGTGTTATCTTCTTAGATACAGGGAAAATGACGGCATGAAGTGGTTATTTGTGAACATTTATTGAATAATTATTTTTCTTGACCTTATTTGAATACAGCTATTTTGCTGCAGGATGAATTGTTTGTAGTAAATGGTAATCACCTGAACTAGCTGAAGAACATTGTTTAGAGGGGATTTGTGGATTACCATTTAGCTGCTATTCATAGAATCACGCAGACTGAAAGACTGAACTGTGGAGCAGTTTGGAACTGATTGGTAATGGGAAATTGCTCTTTTGTCCTGTTAAATAATATTTGAATGACAGCAGGAAGTGGTGCCAGAGAAAAGCCTGGAGAAAGGTGACTTATGGGTCTTATAATTAGAATGTCACTTTTAAGTAAAAAGGTAAATGTACCTTAACAATTGACATTTATACTCCACTGGAAGGAGTTATAATATGTAGCTCTTGTGCTGGGGTCTGTCTTGTCAGACTGAAGCATTGGCTTTTTTTTTTTTTCCCCCTCTTCAAATAGCAAAATTCACTTCCTGATGAAATTATTGTTAATGTACAAAAAATAAGTGATATTTAAAGTGACAAGTACTACTGCTAAAATGTCCTGGCCTTCTTATAAGTGTGGCTTCATGTAGTCAGTGATGTTTTCCTCTGTTTTTTTTTTTTTAATCCCCTTCCCTTGTTTGAAAATTTCTTCTGAATGTTGATCAAAGTTATGGCTCTTAACTTCTTAGTTCAAGGACTAAGGCAGCTCTTTCAGGGTCTAATAAGGTCAAAACCATTTTTCATTAAAACATTATTTGCTTTTCTTCCCTTCATTTACACAGGAGTTTGCAAGGAGTTTTCCAAAGGCTATCTAAAGTGAAACTTAATAGATGCAGAAGCAGAGGAGAATCCAGCAGTCTTTCTTAATTAATTTTAGACAGTAAAAAAGATTTGCAAAAACGTTTAGGCCACTCTTCTTCATTGAGAAGCACTGTGGTTTGTATCTGCATCAGAACATTGCAAAGACCTCAGTGCAGGCCAGAGAGTCATAGTGCCCTCTCCGACTGATAGGTGCCAAAGCTGGAATATTCTTTGTATGGTTTGCTGCCAACTTTGGAAAGGACCTTTCTGGACAGCCATTTATCTTGCAGTATTAATTGAACATTTACTATGTTCTGTCTTGTAGGAATGGAAACAAGGCAGTAAAGAAAATAAAAGCAAAAAAAAATTTCTCTACCCACCTGGAGCTTGCATACTAGCTTCCTTTCCAACCCTTTTGTCTGTTGACCTAGAGTAGCTTCTCCTACAGGGGAATCTCAGGATTCATAGCCACTGTGGATCTTCAGTGCTGACTCTTGTTTCTCAGTATGACTTGATATTTTTGATTATTTTTAAAAAGGCACTAAATGATTTAGGATTTTTTATAATAGATGGAACCCCAAGTACAGCCATAAAGATGGGTGTATTCAGTCATTCTTGTTATGGTTGATTTACTCTTGTTATCAAAGTTAGTGCCACTTTTGTCCAGTGAGGCACAGTGACTCAGGAGGCTGAGGCAGGATTGCAAGTTTAAGGCCAACCTCAACAACTTAGTGAGGACTTGTCTCAAAATAAAAAAAAAAAATAAAAAGTGCTGGTGATGTAACTCAGTGGTAAAGTGCTCTGGGATCCACCCCTCGTACAGATAAACAATAGTTGGTTTTCTATTTATTTATTTTTTGTTTGTTTGTTTATTTTTATAGTCCTGAGGATTGGGGCCTTGCATGTGCAGGGCAAACACTCTACCACTGAGCCACATCCCTAGCCCTTGATTTTTAATTTAATTTTTTTAAAAAGCTATTTGAAGAAAAAATGTTCTTTTATGTATGAGATTTTCTTTGTCTGATGAGTTGCTTCTAAGATCCTGTAATTTGTTTAAGAGACTTTTATATAGAGATTACTTGGCTCATTAAATCGAGTCACCTAATAGTGCCTTGAAGGTTAAGGAATAGA